TTATTATGTGGTACCGGTTCTGTTCAAGCATTCGTGGTGTAACGTACACTTACAACGGTACTGCATAACCTTTCAGAAATACAAATTTTCGTTTCTAAACATTTTATAACTGCTGGTGTTTCGACAATCTTTAGAGTAACTAGTAACTGAAGCAAATCTTTCTAATTTTACCATTTCAGGTTGGTTGTGAACTATCAGCAGTAATTGAAATATTAGTATGGAAATCATATAAGTTTATTTCTCTCAGTCGTCCAAACCCACAAGAATCTCAGGACCCACGTTGTAACTAGAGCACGACCACGACCAGTATAGTGTACAAGACACGGTCCTCCACCATGATACCATCTCGTCTCCGTCTCCTACGCTACAACACGCTGTCTTTGTTACCCGATATTCTCTACAGCTGGGTGACCGAGTGGTTTTAGTGCTACTAGTCGTAAAGCTGCGGGTTCCATCCTGAGAAAAGTCAGTAGCTCCTTGATGGTTCGACACTACATCCATCTGACCATCAAGGTCAGCAAGGGCAACATTGGGTTTTTATTCGGTTCATTGCTGAAGAATCCGCTGGTTTGTGTAAGGAACACCGCTTTCATTTTATCCATTCAGGACTTGACATTTAATCATCTTCGCCTAAAAATAAGCACCCTGGTGTTTTGGCGCAGTACAATCTAATATAATCTCCTATTAGTGAATCGCCTAAAGTAGCCTATCGTATGTACACATTCATTTTCTCATTCTCAGTCCCTTTTCAAAGCTAATTGTCAACTTGTTAGTCTTCTAGGACAATTTCATTTTCACCTGTCAGTTACATTGCAGCACAAATGTACAAGTTCCCCTGAGAGATGGTTGTAGCTTGCAATGTCAGTAACTCACCCAATATCTGGTGCGCTGGCGGATGCTGAGTGGTACATCTCGAGTGTACTGATAGTTATTTGTGATACCGTAAACGCGTGTCATCCACACCTACCGCTACCGATGCAGCTTCAGGATACATCTGTCAGGGAGATTATCTCCTGTAGACACCCACTTGTTCGTATGAAGACTGAAGTGCAATATGTACCGGGTGTCTAGACTCCAGAATGTCAACACCTTATCACTTGCAAATATGTCATTTTACCACTAAATGTAAATAATAATCATTTAAAATTCCCAAGATGGTACAGTATTAAAATAGTGACTGAACATATCTTGTAAAATCCTACAACACTACGTTACAACTTGTTAAAGATTGTGTTGTATTTTTATTCTAACTGGTATTTCATAAAACATTCTAATTTTTTAATAAGAATATCGAAGGAATCAGAAATCAATTTAACTTTTTTTTAGCTTAACTTTTTCATTTTTTTTATTTAATTAATTTTTTGGGCAGGATTTTTATTGTTATTATAATTAACTTGGAAAACCTTGCAAATCACGGAACCTTTAAAAAGGCACTAATTAACACAATTATTGTTGAAACATTGATTAACCTTTAATGGAAATAATGTCATCAATGAGATGAAACTTTAGAAAATCTACCTAATAACAATTCTAGATGTTATTCAATGGCCCTTTTTAATTTAGGACCTTAAAGCAAAATAAAATAAATTCGTCAGTTGAGTTAACGAATAAACTTTGTCGCGTTACCTTTGATTCTTATCGTTAGTTTGAACATTACTTATTTGAGTTGTCCTACAAATTAGAATGTAACTTTGGTAGTGGTGCGCTTGTAAATAAAGACACGTGTTGACAAATCTGTCATAACTGTATATTTTGTATTTTGGTATGTAGTTGTTGTGTTATTGAGTTGTGGTGGTATGGCGTTTTGTGGTATGCCGTTGTGGTGGTATGGCAAGCGCGCGGTCTCCCTATGTATGTTAATTGGTTTGGAGACATCAACGCACTGCTCTGATACGATTATCACTACCAAGAACTCCATTTACCACTTTCAATCCAAAAAGCGTTCGCATTTCAAACCTTTTTTAACCCGTAGAGAACGATTTTACTTGTTTTGTATTCAAAACCAAAAGTTGGCTTCGTATTTTGTATGATTGTGGAATAAAAATATAAATCCGATATATGTAGTATGGTTACCGACTGAGAAAAGCTTAGGTTTAAGCAAGAACCATTGTTCAAAAAATTAAAAGTTTTTGCTTACATATAAAAGTATATCGTCAAATTTTATTTGTTTTATTTCAATTATGCAATCATTAGGAAGGACTATACTATAAAAAAAACTATACATCTTGGAGTAGAGTTACACTGTTTTTTTATCAAAACCGTAGCTAGACAACGTAGTTTAGATAAGTTTCAGTTTGGATTGCAAAATTATTCTTCAAATAGGGAGCGAAACAACAGATTCGTTGCACCTATGTCCTTTAAAAGTATTTTAGTTTGTCGCAATCTTCCTGTCACTAACAAACACTTTATCAGAAAACCATATCTGGTTTCCACTATACAGCATATGATATATTGAAGTTAAACTACATATTCAGGAATTTTGTAGCTGGTTAAGGCTACGTTAGTTTAGGGTTAAATTGCAAAATAATTAATAACTATTTAGCTTTTCTAACAACAGTGCCAGTAGGCTCATCACCTATTTAAGGATTTTGCAATTTAACGTTGATGTCACGTTGTGATTTGTTGAAGGCGAAAGTCTTCAGAGTTGGGAGGTTTGCCTTTAGTGTGTTGTCCTCAGTGGAGTTGATCATTGCCCCCACAGAGCCATCTCTAGTTTCCACTATCCCGGGTATGTATGTAGCTCGTGGACCCAGCTCGTGACTATCTCGTAGCCCACGCGGCCATGACTCATCGTTGGTCGTTACTGCTCGTTAATGCTGTTAATTGACATACCCTCCCACACTGTAAATCTCCCAATTGCCTCCTCGTTAGCTTGTCGTTGTAACTCGTTGGAGCTTCTGTGTCACCTGGATTTGAAGGTTAGCGCAACATTGCATCCTGGGGTACATTGTTAGCGAGAAATATCGGCGACGTTATTCTTGAGGTTTCATTGCCCTTCTTGTTTACAATCTTATTTAAAATATCAATTTTAGCGAATTTCCCATATAGGGAATAAGCTATTACCGTAGTACTCATGGTAAGACCTGGACGCGAAACCGATTTTTTTTCGTTTTGAGGTTCCTAGAGGCCAAAAACACCATCCGTTCAAATTCATATATATATATGTGTCCGTCAGCACGATAACTCGAGCAAAAATGATCCGATTTTGATGAAATTTGGTACAAACGTGTAAACCTACGTTTATTCGAACGTGTTCGCGATCCAGCATGATCGGACCATGGGAACGGGTGTTTACGGGGGGTTTTATGGGGTAAAAATAGGTTTTTCCCATTTTTGACCCAAAAAACATAAAATTTAGCAATTTATTTCCAAACCATTTTGTAGAGCTTCAAAAAACAAATAATTTAGTATATTGAAGCGTTATTATGCGCCTAATGGTTACGGAGAAAATTCCAAAAAATTGTAAATTTAAAATTCCCCTGTTATTCTTATGGAGAATGAGTAAACTGTTGTAGTTTGCTTGTTTATGAACATATTTTGATCAAATTTGGAAAATGTTTTTATTTCTTACTAACTATTAACATTTTACAAAAAAAAAAACAGTTTTACCCTCCCTGATGCAGCAAACCTAAGTACTTGTTAAAACAAATTCTATTTAAATCGGGAATCTAAATATATAAAAGGCAAAGCCCTCACTGACTGACTGACTCACTCACTCATCACTAATTCTTCCACTTCCCATCTAGAAGGCTGAAATTCGGTACACCGATTCTTTGGGCATTAAATAGGAAAACTAAGTAGTTTTTATTCTGATCGGGCTTTCGGGTTCCGCCCCGGTGGCTCTGGAGTTTCCCATGTTAACCTTATGATTTTTCATATTTAAAAGGAATTTCTTAACAGCTGTTTCAATTAAACAAGTTGGTTCTGTTCTATGATGTTCAATAGCATTAAAGTTACAAGGATTACCAACAGGGTGCAGCACTATTATTTTTACTTTCTCCCCCTATACCATAGTATATGGAGAAAGTATTGTTTTATGACTACAGCCATTACAGCCAATTTGCAACCAAAAGGTGAGTGAGCGTAGCGAACGAACTTCAACCTGGAAGCGAGTTGGCGTAGCGAACGAGCTAACCTGAAGGCAAGTGAGCGGAGCGAACGAGCTCCAACCTAAAGGTGAGTGAGCTTAGCGAACGAACTTCAACCAGGACGTGATTGAACCATGCGAACGAGCTCACTTATGAAGTTAAACGGGGCAAAGCCCGCGGGTACAGCTAGTAAATGTTATATTTTTAAGTACACATTTCAGTGTAAATCCAATTAGTCAAATGGAAATTCGCTTAGTCTGCAGGTTTGCTGCGGCGGGGGTATTGTAGGTATTGTCTTGTGAAGGCGTTTTATATTATTGAAATGTTTTACGTGTTTATAAGGGAACGGTCCAAGTCCTCGTCTGGTTACTGTCTCAAATTCAATTATTGCTCTATGGACTATACTTGAGCAAGCGACCCCGCTTGGATTGATCCAGCAAACTTCAGATCCAAACGCAAACTCTATGTCCTCTCTACTGCCCAGAATATTTAATGTAATACAAATTTACAATTAAAATCATCAGTGTTTAATGTTTTCTTGATTCAATTTGAGCTAAGTAACTCCCATTGCTCTTTTATTAATACATCGTAACAACCCATCAGCGTAATTATTGTTTTATTATGTTCAAATGATGGAAATATGTATTTAAATAACTGAAACAACCACAGCAACAGGTAATTAGCAATTTTCCTAGTTAATTTTGAATTTTTACCTCAAAAACGAAAGTTTTTCTGTTTGTGTATACTTTCGAGAGACTTTAGCGCACGGTTTTACTGATCCCTAACCTAAAATAACTAATTGGGTATCAACCAACTGGGACCCACATAGGTTGTTGAATACATGTAACATAACTATATACTTATTGTGAAGGTTTTATTTCTTCTCGACTAAAACTATTTTTAATGTTCCAGGACCTCAAGCGTCACCAACATGTGATCCTAGCCATCACCAATACACCACGCCCCACAATGGGCCTAAGACTGTTGTTAATGACACTCTAGTGATAGTGAACTGTGAACATCGTGAAAGGAAGCAGTGATGATGTAATTGCAACTTATGCCAGATGAGGACATCCCAAATAGTGATGTAGGTAGTAACACTTTCCATAGACGATCGAAGCTAGTGACAATGTGGGGTGCTCAGTAATAAAGGCGACCACACCAGAAGACACGTTTGGATGGGAAAAGTATTCATCTAGTGTTGTAGACTGTTACCATATGAAATATTAGTGATATGAAGAGTCACAGTGAACTAGTTCTAGATTTGCTGGCATCGTTTGACAAGTTAGTGATGTAAAGAGCTAGTGATCACTAGAGATGTTGCTGCTGCCTGACCAGACGTACGAGGAGGCCTCCTTGGAGCTGTTGACGGTGCTGAGACTTTGTGATGACTTCTTATCTCAGTACCGCATTAGACCTGACTTCTTCTGCCGCTACCGGGAGAGACTGGCAGCCCTCAAGTGTCAAACGTTGATGCCTTCCACCAGAGCTGCCTCTCAATCAGCGTCACGCTCAGGTCAGTTCTAGATTGAGCTAGAATTTAAACACCCCTTTAGCTTAAAGTGGCAGGGTTAATACAGACGTAAAACGTTTGAAAATCTGAAGCGTAGAAAAAAATTATTTTCTAAACTTCTAAGGTACATATTAACTTGGTATAGAATAAGTATACCATCATGAACATATGTATCACATGGATTTCATTAGATAAGAATTTACAACCCTGGCACACCAGGGTATTTATTTTAAGGTAATTAATTACATGAGTATTGTGTTGATTGAATGTGATGTCCACTTTGTTACCGAGTAATATCATTTGTTTCTTTTACAAGGACCGTTTGGCCAAGGCCCGATGAACAAATACAGCTACTAGTAGGCATACTTACGACTAAAGAGCAGTGCGACTAAAAGCATCTGACTTTTCTCAGGATCGCGCCGGTAACCTCTTGAATACCGGGCGAACACTATATCGACTCAGTTACCCAGCTTTATTCTCGCTGACTATAGTAACTTACTTGAATTTTGAACACTTATTCTCAAATATGGTGGATAAGCTAAAAATAAATGAATTCTGTATCAGTTAACTTAATCTCTCGGATTAACCTTAAGTCATTATCAAATAACTCGTCGTCGTCTTAGTTTATTGCAACTACTTTAATCTTAGTTGATTTATCTCAGCCCACCTCATCGTGATCGTGATCCAAAACTACTACTAAAATCAAACATAAAACCTATTAAATCCCAATAAAACTATAAAATGCATCATTTTCGGTTTCAACCCCGATTCAAACAATTCTGGATACTCAGTTCAAGATGCAAGATAAATCGCATCGGCTCTCAATAAACTATTACCCCCTCTATCACGTGCGGAATGCCACGGATTCTGAAGGACATTGCGGATTCCTAGGAGACTTAGAGGTATTTAGTGTCGCGGATGCAAATAGTGCAGGGAATGCATCTCGGCAAGTCGCATGTCACCATAATTGTATGCCTCGCTAATCTGACGCCGACAAAGGCAGATTGATGGTCGCGGGCGCTGAGTCGTCTGTCCCATTGTCCAGCCCAGTTTTTATCTGCTAATATATTCCGGGAGCGTCTCTCCGTTGATCCAAGGCTACTGGAGGACGCCCCCGGTACCCGCTCTACGACACACCCCACACCTCCACGTATCTGGAAACAGAAAACATACTCAAATGTTGTTGCAAGGAATACAATATTCTTCTGTCACCCATATACTACTGTCTACGTTGCCGAGTGGTGCTAGTGCTTACTTTCAAATCTGAGGGCAGCTGGTTTGATCATCAGCTAGTTTCGATTCTTCCAGATTCTATTTTTGTCATCGAGCTACCACTATATTGGGCCCTCCGTCGATCTGGAAACATAGGTCATACTGAAATTCGCTGCAAAGAGTATACCTCTTTTAGTTCTTCAAGTTTATGCTATCTGGATTGCCTGGGGTTGAAGTTCTTCGATTCAAATGTAAAGATTGCTAGCTTGATTTCACGTGGAGTAAAATCTTAACCTACTGAGTTAGGTGCAACTAAATTTTCAGTGGGTGCAATTAGTTTGCTATCGACACACTCCATATACCTCCGTCCGAGTTATTTTCTTCAAATATTAGGGTTGCTGGATTGGTCCCAAGTGGAGTAAGGTGCAGTTAATTATATGCAGAAACTAACGTTTACAAAATGTTATATTATTTCTGTAGGTAGAATAAGGTAAGTTACATTATTTGACACACGAGTTGATAACACGTGAGTTTAGTTTTGCATAATTTACTGAGTTTACAAAGTGTTGCGAGTCGTCGCAAAGATGATCTATTTGTAAACTAATTACATGTCCACCAGTAGCCCAAGAGCAAAGTGCTCACTGTAAAATGTGTCATAAAATAAGCGAGAAACGATTGTATCTAAGTATGGATCTAAAGTAGTAAGTGGTACCTAAGCACATACTACTGATGCTAGTTGTTTTTTTTAGGTTGAAGTAATACTTGATGGAAATGTTACTACATCACGAACATATAACATTCATGCTACACTTGACGAGTTTGATTCAATATGAGTCGACCTTTATTCAGTTTATCGCAGATTTTCCGGTATTTAATCACAATAATTTCTATCCTAGCTAAGAAACGTGTTTTAGAAACAATCAAGCAACACAAACAACAAAAGACAGGCGGTCGTAGAAGCTCAACAATTACTGGTCGGATAAGGAATGTAGTCTGGTTGAACACAAGACACTAGACCGCCTCAGACACAGCATCGCTGTCGCAAACTAAGGGAAGCTGATGTACGTCTTTAGCTATGCGTACAGTAAAAATTTCATCTTATAAACTACAGTATTTTTTAGTTATATTGTTATTAGTTTTGATGTTCATATCCTTATCCTCATAATCCTAGAACAGCATATTCCATTATTACTAGTACCGAAAGTGGCGTATTCCGGCACGCTCTCAAGTTTGATGTGAGAGGCAAAGCCGAAAACAGGAAAACTAAATTTCACGTGTGACTAAATAACTAAACTTTAAGAGTAACTAAATAACGCGGAAAAACGACCAAAAATGTTTTTTTACCAAAACACGTCATGTAATAATCAAAAAATCTTTTGATCCGACGTCCTTTGTAGTACTAAAAATACAAGTAACATTAGCCATGACTTTACGCTTGAAAATGTAAACTAGCATAAATATTGAATATTAATTTAGGTAAAATATAGCTCCTGAATTCAGCGTCCATGATTTGAGTTATACACATAACAATTTGCGACTACCATATACATTTGATTTCTTATATACAAGTTGTATGAATATGAGTAAATGTCAACGTATAGAGAATGCTTCTTCCTCGGTGGATATACAAAATAAACATGTTAATTACAAAGTAACTGTTCAACATGGGTAAGACATTTCGGCTTTTCTCACGTAACATCAAAAGCAGCTCCGATTTTAACTTCATTAAAAATTTTAGGAAAATTAAGTAATTAGAAAAACAAAGTAATCAAGTATATTTAGAACCGGTTATGATAATACACTGTGTAGGTGTGACGGTAAGCGGCGAGGGTGATGGATTGTGTTTTGTTAGGGACAATAGGCTTAAGGTAATTTACTGTAATTAGTTTTAACGCATCAAAATTGGCAAAAACTGTGTTCCTTAAACCCACCTGCTTATCCACGTTTGTAGTGCTTACTACCATCTATATATAATCACAATTGTGTTTATACATCGATGCTTTCTACGAGTTACCACATGTAGGGTAACCGTTTGGAAACTGATTGAAATATTAGCGCGCAGCATTTACAGATGTAGATTTTTCAGTTTAATGGGTGGGTTGGTTTTAAATCATATTTCTCTCGTGTTGTTCAAATTATATGTTTGTGATATAATATGTCTCATAACAAGGCTTATAAGGAATAAGTAAAACTATATTTATTTAGTGTTTATGGCTACATTTTCTAGTGCTCTGCTGTACAAATGCAATTCTCTCCTCGTAAATTTTATATAAAATCAAATGCTAGGCTTTTGGTTGTCATTGCGGTTAAGTTTGGTTAACAAGTAGCTGTTTGTGACACAACACAGGATTATAACGGCCATATGTCAGTGCCTCAATCCAATTACGTTCATTTTGTTCTAAAATTTACGACAAATATAACCTGGATGTAGTGTCACAACTTATTTTAATATTTAATGTTATAAATAAAATCCAAATGATTTGTCGCCCACATTCGATTCCCTGTGAATACCTTTACTGTGTAAGGGTTATGACATTACCCATGCACAGCCCGAACGCTAAACCCGTGCAATTCACCATAGTTTAAATAACCTACAAACGCCGTAGCATTATGTTTCCCATCTCTCTCTCTCTACTCGCACCTGCGCCATCGGCTTGCGCAATGCGTGTTCGATACGGTTATTACGCATGCGCCGTTGTCGATTTATTAACCAACCAATCAACTTATTCTTGAACGGTTTACTCGAAGCATATCTATGCATTCTGCTAGGAATGTGAAATGATTCTATGCTATCAGTTATTTGATAAGCAATGCTCATCAGTTGAATTGAATAGGTTTGGGTGTGTATAATGTACAGATATTTATTTAGTTGGCTATGTGTGTAAACTGTTCAATATAGTCTCTGTAGTGCTAGGTCCAAAGTTAAACCGTTTTGAGCGTCGGATTTGGAATGGGGGAGGGGGAGTAGAGGCAAAAGTTGTTAAATTTGTAGTATTTTTTTTATATTTTGAAAAACACAAAAAAATCATTTACAAGAATAATTGGCATCAAATTCTAAAAAAAAATCAAACTATTAAATATTTTGCCAGAGTTAACTGTAACAAAGATGCAAAATGAAAAAGTGTCAATTTTTTTAATACAACTTTATTACTATGGAAACTATTTTTTTTGTATTCAGGATAATTTTTTTGCAAAAACGAAAAATGTAATCCAATTGGCCGGCGAATGTTGGTGATAAGTCCTCGAAGAAATGACAGCATCGCCAGCGCC